AAGGAGGCGAAGGCAGAGGTGAATGTCATTTCCACTTCAGGAGGAGATGACGCATTGATATGCTCTTTGGAGAGCAAGGAAGAATCTTGGGTGTTAGATTCAGGAGCGTCGTTCCATGCTACTTCTCAGAAAGAATTCTTCGAGAAGTATGTTCCTAGAAATCTTGGATACATATACCTTGGTGATGATCAACTGTGTGCTATTATGGGCAAAGGTATGATGAAAATTAAGTTGAACGGGCCAATATGAGAGCTAAAGGATGTCAGGCATATTCCCGACCTGAGAAAGAACTTAATATCTGTAGGTCAGTTGGCTGGCGAAGGATACACCACGACCTTCCATGGAGAAGATTGGAAGATCTCAAAGGGCGCAATGACGATTGTCTGAGGTAAGAAGACCGGTATCCTGTATATCATAACAGGTGCACGTTGTTTGATCTCAGTTACAGTAGGCAATGAGACTTCAAAGCTGTGGCACCAGAGACTCAGTCATATGAGTGAGAAGAGAATGAAAACCATGCACACAAAGGGAGAACTCCTAGGACTGCAGTCAGTGGAGATGGACATGTGTGAAGAATGCATACTCGGAAAGCAATAGAGAGATAGCTTTCAGACAAGTGGTAGAACCCCCAGGAAGGAGAAGCTAGAGCTCGTTCACTCAGATGTTTGGGGACCAACCACCACCGCGTCCATTGGTGAAAAACACTACTTTGTGACTTTTATCGATGATCACTCTCGGAAAGTGTGGGTCTACTTTCTGAAGCATAAGTCAGAAGTATTTGAAGCTTCTAGGAAATGGAAATCCATGGTCGAGAATGAGGCCGGTCTAAGAATAAAGAAGCTCGGGACCGACAATGATGGTGAGTATGAAGACACCGGATTCAAGAAGTTCTGCTATGAACACGAGATCAGAATGGAGAGAACTGTGCCCGGTACGCCTCAGCAAAATAGTGTAGCTGAGCGGATGAACCAAACGTTAACAGAGAGATCCAAAAGCATTCGGGTACAGTCAGGCCTACCGAAGCAATTCTGGATAGAAGCAATCAACACAACAGCTTACTTGATCAACCAAGGTCTATCGGTTCATTGGAGCATAGAATACTAGAAGAGGTATGATGCAGAAAGGAGGTAAAACTCTCACATCTCAAAGTTTTCGGTTGTGTAGCTTACGTGCATATTAGTGATCAAGGTAGGAATAAGCTTGATCCCAACTCCAAGAAATGCACATTCATCCGGTATGGTGAAGATGAGTTCGGCTACCGCATTTGGGACGACGAAAACAAGAAAGTGATCCGCAGCAAAGATGTGATATCCAACGAGAAGGTGATGTATAAGGACATGTACAAGACAGATGACTCAGAGAGCGAGTCAACATTTGTAGATGCAGATGATGTCCTGAGTAACCTTTCGGAAGAACCAAATGCTGAAGGTCCTCAGCCAGAAGAGCCGGTTGGACAGGATGGTGCGCAGGAGCCCAACACACCAGCTCCGATATTAAGAAGATCTTCACGGCCTCCTGTGCTCAACAGGAGATATATGAACTATCTATTGCTAACAGATGGAGGGAAGCCTGAAAGCTATGATGAAGCTTGTCAGGGTGGAGATGCGAGCAAGTGGGAGCTTGCCGTGAAAGATGAGATGAAGTCTCTCATCTCAAACCAGACGTGGGAACTAGCTAAGTTGCCCACTGGTAAGAAGGCCCTCCACAACAAATGGGTGTACCGGGTGAAAGAGGAATAGAATGGCTCCAGAAGATATAAATCTCGGCTAGTTGTCAAAAGATTCTAGCAGAAGAAAGGAATTGACTACACCGATATTTTCGCTCATGTGGTGAAGCTAAATACTATCAGGACAGTGATGAGAATTATAGCTATTGAAGATCTTCATCTCGAGTAGTTGGACGTGAAGACGGCGTTCTTCACGGAGATCTAGAAGAGGAGATATACATACACCAGTCAGAAGGTTTCTCAGAAGAAAAAAAGAAGAACCTGATGTGCAGACTTAAGAAAAATTTATATGGCCTAAAACAAGCCCCAAGACAGTGGTACAGGAAGTTTGACGGCGTCATGCACAAGGAAGGTTTCCATAAGTGCAACACCGACCACTGTTGCTACTTCAAAAGATATCAGTCCAATTATAGCATCTTACTGCTATATGTTGATAATATCTTGGTTGCAGGTGCAGATATGGATGATATCAGGGGTTTGAAACAGCAATTGTCAAAAGAGTTTGACATGAAAGATTTGGGTCCAGCAAAGAAGATCCTTAGAATGCAAATCACGAGAGATAAGAAGAGAGGTCCCTTGCAGTTATCTCAGATGGAGTACATCAATCGTGTTTTGCAGAGATGCAACATGTGCGACGCCAAGCCAGTGAGCACACCCTTGTCCAGCCATTTTCTCCTATCAAAGGATCAGTCTCCTGGGTCAAAAGAAGAAAAAGAAAGTATGGTTAAGGTCCCTTACGCCTCAGCTATCAGAAGTTTGATGTACGCAATGGTCTGTACGAGACCATACATTAGCCATGTAGTGGGAGTGGTCAGCCGGTTTATATCGAATCCAGGAAAAACTTATTGGGAAGCGGTCAAATGGATTCTGAGGTATCTACGAGGCATCACACAGAAGTGTTTGTACTTTGGTAAGGGAGAGGCAGAAGTGCAATGGTACGTAGATGCAGACTTCGGTGGTGTAGTCGATCACCGAAGAAGCATCACTGGCTATGTATTCACTGTTGGAACTACAGCTGTTAGTTGGATGACACAGATACAGAAGATTATCACTCTATCCACTACAGAAGCTAAGTATGTTGCAGTGACTGAAGCTAGCAAAGAGATGATATGGCTTCAGGGTTTATTAACAGAGCTGGGATTTAAATAGAAGAAGAATGTTCTGCATAGCGATAGTCAAAGTGCAATTCACTTGGCTAAGAATTCCGCATTTTATAAAATAAAAATAAAAATAAAAAATAATTTACTCCAAAATAATATTATGAAGTGACTAATAAGGCACATATTCAAAAGCTCTAAAAACAATTTCCCACTAATAAGGCACATATTATGAAGTGACTAATAAGGCACATATTCACACTAATAAGGCACATTTCCCAAACACATATTATGAGCATAGACATCCTCATCCTCATATGCCTTAATTTTTACTTTTCAGTACTCTAGCTATTAGACAAATTTCCTAACTATGGGTGACTTTTTCCTTCAAATCTGCATTTTTATAGAGCCAAGAACAGGAATGAATAAGCAAACTATATAAAATAACAGGTCTACATAGAATAAAGGTCAATCACAATATATAGACATATCCTCATAAATTAATCCACAAATGCTAGGATGTAGATATTTTTTATAACATGATTTTACCTGTTAAAAAAATTCAAACATGCATAGAGAAATGTCAAATACCCTGAATAAGACCAGAATCCCATCAATAATAATGTTACAGATCCCAAGTTTGAATGGCCAGTTTTCTTTGTAGACTATATGAATTTGTAGCTGTATATGCATATATACATTATAAATTTTATAATAATTTTATATTCTGGAGAAGATATAATATGAGTGAAGTTAGTTACCGGTACAGTTGTGAATAAAACAAGTCTCATAATGGATATCAGGATACTAAGTATCTAACCTCATTAAATAGGGAGATATTTCCATAATTTGTTAGCCAAAAATGTGTATATTGAGTACCTGAATTCAATCCTCCCCAAACACAAAATAAAACATGACAAATTCTATGAAACGACATCACAGTCTAAAGAAAAAAAGGAGGTATCGTGTTAACTTACATAATCAGCCATGTGTCGTGCGAAGCTCTTTGTGCCACCAGTGTGATTCATTTTTTGCCTCTTGAGGCTTTCAATATTCTTCTCACATCTTATTTGTCCCATAATCAGCCATGAATATTAAGGCACATATTATTAAGTAACATCTGGAAATATCTCAACTATTATTTGTTCTTTTTTGACTAATAAGGCACATATTCACACTAATAAGGCACATTTCCCAAACACTTGATCTGGCACATATCAAAAGCTCTAAAAATAATTTCCCCAATATTTGGTGGTTACTGCTGAATGTTACCTAGATCCTATGCTTAACTACTGTAATTATTTGCATAGGTGAAATGAGAAATCCAAAATAATAGTTGTAGGAGAATGTTTAATTATCTGAACATGTTCAAAGAGTTTACAAACCAAAATAGAATTAATATTTTTTAGATACCATACATCTAATTATACAATACAAACTGATGTCAAATTTGATACATCAGATAGACTGTTTTCACTTCTGTTGTATTCTCCATTTCACATTAGGAGTTTGATGTTTGTCTCTATCTCTTTCCATTTTTTACTTAGTTCTGACCATTGACTGGTTAGGTTTTGCACGTGTGAATAGGTTCAATTTGGTGTTCTGTTCTGCAAAATAGTTAAATAATGGATAAAAGTTGGGTACATTTTGATCGCCGAAGTCCAGATTATGTTGCAGGGTTGAACTTATTTGTAGATGAAGCCCTTGCCAAGTCTAGTCGTAAAGATAAGATCACATGTCCTTGTAAAGAATGTTGTAATCGTTATTTTGAAGATAAGATGACTGTGGTGGAACATCTTCTATGGCCTGGAATGGACCCTTTGTACATGAATGCTCGATGGACACATCATGGTGAGCCTTACGTTGAATCAACAAATGTCATGGAAATGGATGTTACTGAAGGAGGAGATGTAGGTGAAATGCATGATTTCCTTAATGAGACATTTGTGCAACCAAATATTGGTGAGAACGTAGGGTCATCGAGGCAGCCTGTTTTTGATGGTCGAACACCCGATGCAGAGCAATTTTTTAAGTTAATTGAACAAGCTGATAAGGAGTTGTATCCAGGATGCAAGAAGTATAAAAAATTGGATGCCGTCGTAAAATTGTACTAGATCAAGTGTTTGGGAAATGTGATTAATAAGGCTTTTGATATGTTTTTAGAGCTTTTTAAAGATATGTTGCATGAGGGAAATTATTTGCCACGGTCTACTTCACAAGCTAAAAAGATTATTGATGATTTGGGCCTTACTTATGAGAAGATTGATGCTTGCCCTAACGACTGCATGTTGTTTTGGAAAGAGACAGCAAACTTAACCGTGTGTTCTACATGTGGTGCGTCAAGATATAAAGTGAAAAAAGTAACAAGAGTTGGTGATAGTTCGGGATAATTCTAGTAAGAAAGTATCAGCTAAGATTCTTCGGTATTTTCCACTAACACCGAGGTTGAAAAGGTTGTATATGTCAAAACATACTGCATAATATATGAGATGGCATGCGACCGAATGCCCTAAAGATGGATTTATGAGACACCTGTCAGATTCTCCAGCTTGGAAGCATTTAGATTCGTTGTACCCGAATTTTGCATTTGAAATTCGAAATGTAAGATTGGGTTTGGCAAGCGACGGGTTCAATCCTTTTGCACATATGAGTAGTGATCATAGCACTTGGCCCGTCGTAATTTCTGTTTATAATCTGCCTCCGTGGATGTGCATGAAGCAACCCTTCTTGTTTCTTTCTTTACTTATTCCAGGCCCTAATGCACCTGGAAATGATATTGACGTGTACTTGAAACCTTTAATGGATGAGCTAAAGGAGTTATGGGAGGTTGGTGCCAACACTTATGATGTGTTTTCCAATCAGTAATTCAACATGAAAGCTGCTGTGTTGTGGACAATAAATGACTTTCCTACATATGCGAATCTTTCGGGATGGAGTACGAAGGGGAAGCTTGCATGTCCTCAATGTCATCATCAAACAGTATCAAAATGCTTGCCTAATTGTAAAAAGCAATGTTATTTGGGTAATCGTAGATTTTTGCCCATAACGCATAGATTTCGAAATGATGGACCTTCATTTGATGGCAAATGCGAGAGGGGTCGAGCACCAAAGATGTTGACCAGGACCCAGTGTATAGCACAAATGTCTAATCTGACCTTTACCTTTGGGAAATCACCACCTTCAGAATCTGAAACTGATGATATTACACGAAAAAAGAAAAGGAAAAGAAATACTTCTGCTGCCTCCAAAGAACAAAGAAATGGTACTAATAATCCATGGAAAAAGAAAAGTATTTTTTTCTTTACCATATTGGGAGCATCTTTTGATACGTCATAATCTAGATGTGATGCACATTGAGAAGAACGTATCAGAAAAATTTTGTATACATTGTTGGGCACATCTAAAAGGACAAAGGATGGACTTGAAGCTCGTGCTGACCTAGAACTTCTCAATATAAGGAAAGGTCTCCATCCAATTCGTGTGGGAGCTAGGACATACTTACCTCCTGCAATATTCTCTATGACTAATGAAGAAAAGACACTATTTTGTCGTGTGCTATCGAAGGTGAGATTTCATGATGGATACTCATCAAATGTTGCGAGGTCTGTTGATGTGAAGGATCAAAAAATACATGGTTTGAAGAGTCATGATCATCATGTTATAATGCACCAATTACTCCCGCTTGCGATACGAAGGGTTTTGCCTAGACCTCTGACTCTTGTTTTGCTTGAGTTAAGTGCAATCTTTAGACGGTTGTGCGGTAAGAAAGAATCTGAAGCATCATTCAAGCATTTGGAATATAGAATTGCATTGATCGTATGTTATTTGGAGAAAATGCTGCCTCCTTCATTCTTTGATATAAAGGTTCACTTACTAGTTCATCTCGCCCACAAGGCTGCTATTGCTGGACCAGTCCAATATCGATGGATGTATCCCATTGAAAGGTAAAACACAAAAAAAAAAATTTATTGAACTTTTTGCTTCTAAATTTTACTTGCCTTCTATAACTCAGTTAATGCTTTTTTCCTCTTAAAAGGTATTTACAAACATTGAAACGATATGTTCGAAATAAAAATTATCCGGAAGGAAGCATTTGCATAGGATATCTTGCAGACGAGGCTTTGGCATTTTGCTCCATGTACTTATCAGACATTGAGACTCGTCGTACTCGTCGTGGTCATAATGCCGATGTTTCTACCCCTCGTGAAGGCTTGTCAATCTTTGCATACTCAGGTCGTTGTGTGGGTAAAGCCACACAAGTAGATCTTGAAAGAAGTGCATGGGAGCAATGTCGAAAATATATTTTGTTCAATTGCAGCGAAGTCTCTCCATTTCTAGAGTGAGATATTTTATTAGATGTTTAGCCCCTTTTTTTGGTATGTCTAGTTCATTAAGTGAATTTTAAGTTCACACTTGTCTGTTATGGTTAACTTTAATAGAAAAAGGATGGCGGAGTTACGCAAAATCTACCGACGGAAAACTGTTCGAGAAGTAGAGAATTTGAGAAATAAGGAATTTCCTACTTGGTTCCAGAACCATGTAAGTTACAGCTTCGTGTTATACAATTATTATTTTTTGTTGTAGATTTTTTTATAATATATAATTGACTTTGTTAATTATTGCCTCAGGTGAATGATTTGCATGCAAAAGGCGATTCTTCCGTAACGAAAGATATACGTCGACTTGCTAATGGTCCTAATATGACTGTGAAACAGTATAAAACCTGCATTGTTAATGGTTGTAGATTCCGGATTAAATCGGTTGATGACAACCATAAAAATCAAAATTGTGGAGTCTCTATTTCTGCACAAACCTTAAGTTATTCTAGTGTGAGGGACAACAATCCGATTACCGGTAATGTTGACTACTATGGAGTTTTAAAGAATATTTACGAATGTGATTATGGTCTTCCTGGAGAGCCCGAAGGTCATGGAAAGTGGTGTTATTTGATTGTGATTGGGTCAGCAATTCTGGGAAGAAGCTTGATAATTATGGTTTCACCTTAGTGAATTTCAAACACTTGGCACACAACAACGATACATTTATAACAGCTTCACAAGCTGTACAAGTGTTTTATGTTTATGATCTAAAAGACATGGATTGGAATGTTGCTGTTAAATTAAGCCCGAGGGATTTCTTTAATGTCATGGAGAGTGATGATGGATCAGCAAGTATGTCCAACCCATTAAATTCAGATGATTATTATGCCATACCAAATCTTGATGATCGGGCACTAGACGATGAAGAATTACAAGTTAGAACTGATATTTGTGGAACCTTTGTTAACAAGCAGTTACCACTACCAGTTGCTAATGATTCTGTAGGTAATGAGGAAGAGCAAGCAGTTACCACTACCAGTTGCTAATGATTCTGTAGGTAATGAGGAAGAGCTTGAGGGTGATGATGAGTAAAACGAAGATGATGAAAGTGAGGACAGTGAAGAAGAATTGAATTAGTAGATTTTGTGATTGTATTATTAGTAGAATTGATTCTTTTGAAATTGCACTTGTTTTATTTGTTATTCATTGGATTTACTGCTCATGCATTTTTTTCGAAAGTGTTTAGTTAATAAATTAGTGAAAAACTTGTGAAGTTAGATTTGATAATTGATGTCATACTTTGTGTTTGGGGTTTTTTACTATTTAGATGAGTAGAGTTGAGTATTCTGCTTCCAACGAAGAACACATTATAGAAGAGAGTATAGGGGAATTTGATGGCACTCATGATGATAATGGTACGTGTTTTCTTAAATTTTTTGATCAGCTCTTTAGTTCTTCCTATTTTGTTATTTCATATTCTATATTTATTTGATCAATCTTAAACTTGTGAATCTTTTCCTTTTTCAGGATATGTGATTCACGAATCTTTTCCTTCCCTCGCTACTCCTCCCACATACTTCAGAAGGAGATAGAAATTTAGTTTGGTCATTAAAACTATATGATCCATGCCTGAGTTTCTGAGAATTAGCAAATATTGATTTCTGATGACAATGTCGAGGATATAGTGTGTTCATATATGGTAACATCAATTTTCTAGCATGATTTAATACCGACCATATCAACAGCATCTCTTTGAGCTGCTACTACTACTGCTGCAGACAGCAGCTCAGAGAGCTGCTGCTGCAGACATCATCTCTTTGAGCTGCTGCCAGCAGCTTCTCTTTGAGTTGCTACTGTTGCCAGCAGCTCAAAGGGCTGCTACTGCAATCAGTAGCTCAAAGAGCTGTTGATGTTGCTATTGCAGACAGCTCTTTGAGCTAATGCTACTGCTACTGCACAGAAATGAGAAAAAATAGAAAAGCCCCTGTGTCAATGTGCACATGAACGTACACTACGAATTCAAGTCCAGTTATATGCACTCATACCCTATTTCATGTATACAAGGTGTTGGAAAGGTCAAGAATCGTTTCGGATGCCTCGAACGAGAAATTTGCTAAATTGTCGACATATCGACCAAAACCCGGGTTTTAATATTTATTTATCTATTTCATATGGTTATTAACTTTAGTGTATGCGGGTCAAACGCAAACGAAAAGAGGGCGTGGTTATGAGAATTAGCAAATATTGATTTCTGATGTCAATTTCGAGGATATAGTGTGTTCATATATGGTAACATCAATTTTCCAGCATGATTTAATACTGAAAAATTATCCCCTTTTTATTATTGTGTGCACCTAATCTCTTTGATAGTAATTACGTTCCCTATGAAATCACCATTATGAAGACAATATGTGATATTACGCCAAAATAAAAGTCGACACCACGACAAAAATGACCAAACAGCGACATTATCTGACCCAAGAGCCAAAAGTGATGCGTCTGCATCGGCTGTCTGACCCATCTGAGAGAAAACGAGCTGACTCAGTATGTAGTCAGTATTGGCGCTTGCTCTTGAATCTGTGATCACAATCGTCACGTCATTATGTGAGCAATACTTGACATTGGTGCACTCCACCTGTACACGTAAGATACTTGCATAAATTTATGCCGTTACTGTAAATAAAGAAAACATGGTGTGCGTGTCTATATATATATATATATATATATATATATATATAAATGGCATATACGATACTGTATTGTTGGTGATTTGTCATTTATTCATCCTACACTTTTTTATAAGCATTGAAACCTCGATTCTTTTATAGGTGTTCAACAAACACTACACTCCCTATAGTATGCAAATAACATAACAGATGGGAATATAAATTAGAAGTAATAAGTGACTAACCCGTCACTGCACGAGAGTGTATGTGCAATTAATCCTAAAATATTAAGTTAAGTAGGATGCAAAACTTGTGTACTAGGCTACTAGCTTTGAACTAACTAAACCTGATGTGCCATTTTGGGCTGAGTCTGGGTTATTAACTTTAGTGTATGCAGGTCAAACGCAAAAGAAAAGAGGGTGTGGTTATGACAAGCCAAAGTGGGGAAAATCTGGCAATGAGTCTATTGCATTCACAAAGGATGGATTGTGCGTTGACCCCAAGGATGCCCAGCTGTCTAGGTACTTAGGTAGCCTAGCAAAAAATTCAAGGTTTCTTCCCCTCAAGCCTATAGATTGGCGGTTGCATGATGATACTACCATGGATCATGTGTGGAAAACAATATATGTATGATGTTCTTGAACACTTTCAGCTTTAATATGTATTGAAACATATATTAAAACACTTGTAAATGGTATAACACTTGTATGAGTGCAGGATACAATAGATTGGCGGCCTGAAGATGTTCCCAATATTCTTAAAATCCGACTTGTAATGTTGCAAAGATTGTCTGATAGGTGCAGAAACTATAAGGCAAGTTTAAAAGCTAAGTATTACACTCCCTATGTTGGTTTGCCAGAACGATTCTTGTGTGGAGATGATCATGTAGATCGCGACCAATAGTGGGTAATGGTTAACTATTGGGACACTAATCCAAAAAATAAAGTAAGTACTATCATCCATAATATAAACTTATGATTTCAAATTAGGCATAATTTCTTATTATGTTGTGCGCATTAGGTTAGATGTGAGAAGAATATTGAAAGCCACAAGAGGCAAAAAAAATGAATCACACTGGTGGCACAAAGAGCTTCGCACAACACATGGCTGATTATATAAGTTAACACGAGACCTCTTTTTTTCTTTAGACTGTGATGTTGTTTCATAGAATTTGTCATGTTTTATTTTGTGTTTGGGGAGCATTGACATCAGGTACTCAATATACACATTTTTGACTGTGATGTTGTTATTTGATCTCCATGCATGTTTCAATGTGAAATAAGAGTTGATAACTTACAACAACAATTAGGCCTTTATTCCCAAGTCTGAAGAAGGGGACAAAGTTAGTGCATTAAATTGAAGGAACAAGAAACTGTTTTTTTGGGACCTCCATCATAGGTCTTTGGGAAATAAGAGGACATAAGAGTTTAATTATAAGTACAAACTTAAAATCTGATGCATGATTGACATATAATCCAGATAACCGAATTGTATGTGTGCGCGCATGCGCATGTGCATGCGTGTGTGCGCGTGCGTGCATATGCGTGTGTGAAACTATGTAACACCTGAACTTCATAGGACGCCCATTTACTAGTGAACTTCACATATTTAAGTGCTTTTTAGTTCTTATGTATGACTAGGGACTAATTTCTTCTTCTCAAAGAGCTTCTATTTCTCATTCTTTGCTAATTTGATGATGGATGTCAATATTTAGTACTGAAATAGCCTCAGGAAGTCACAGTCAGAAGGGGGCCATGAAAAACTATAAGAAATTAAAAAACAACATTAAAGTGAATTTTCAAATATCATTTTAGGCTGGTTATCTGATAATTTGTACCCCTAACTACAATTAAGGTTAGGATTTACTTATACAACATTATTATCTAACTCTTCTCACCAGTTTGATCTGGATAAACAAATCATTATGCCCCAAAATATAGGGTAAAGTATCTTAACAGCGACTGAGTTGCTGGCGACAACTTGGCGAGCTGAGTCATAAATGCCATATAAGATTGGCCCTTCACCATGTAGACATGTTGTAAGATTGTGGAATGCGACGGATGTCTTAAAATAATTACATGATGGTGCACCTACTGATGATGATAGTAGGCGATTAGGGTCGCATGGGCTCTTGTAGCAGGCCAGTGTCATGAGATCACAGTTATTGCTCTTCTGACACTGCTGCAGGAGGCAGGAGGTCATGCGTTGGATAATAAGAACATACCAGCACCCACCAACAACCTGATCAAAATGAATAGCAAGGTGATGTATCTCGATACTTATCAGAAGATATCAAACATTTTCGAATATTAATAGCAAGGTATACTTCATCAAGTATTTGATCATAGTCTCTAATATCTGACAAATACCACGCAAGTATCCAGACTGATCTGATAATACTTATATGAAAGCTTCTTATTCAAGCAGAATTGATGCAGCCTAAATTTAAATCATACAGCAGTCAAAGTGTAAGTGTTGAATAATTCTGTTTGTTCCTGTATATTAATGCAACAGTTATGAATAGCTTTTCCATTGAAGGACTTCTATACATTCTCAAATAAATTCTACACTTCGAAATCATATCCATTGAATAGCTTTTCCATTGAAGGACTTCTATACATTCTCAAATAAATTCTACACTTCGAAATCATATCCATTACATTATGCAGAGATCATAACTTTGTTATACATTCTCAAATAAATTCTACACTTCGAAATCATATCCATTACATTATGCAGAGATCATAACTTTGTGTCATGCCTAAATCTCAATTCATAGTTAAAATTCAAGTATGCATGATTGGGACTTGGGCTCAAATCCTCCCAAAAACAGTGTACTTCAATAAATTAATTGTTAATATATATACCAACTTCACCTTGTTTGTTTTTAGAAGGGGGAAAACAGAGGAATAGCTCGGCCTTTTTGGTCACAGAATGAGAAGCATAAAGAAAACATGGATAAATATTCAGGCTGTCATCTTCATGTGTGGCACTGTGGCAGATGCCATCAACATTTCTTTG